TAGAAAACGAACTTCAAATAAAGCCTAAGGCCAGCAGGAGAAGGTAAATAAAAACATTAGAGCAGAAATAAATGATATAGAAACAAACAAAAATCCAGAACAGATCAATGAAACTAGGAGCTGGTTCTTTGAAAGAAATAATAAAATTGATAACCGCCTAGCCAGACTTATCAAAAAGAAAAGAGAAAGGACCCAAATAGATAAAATCATGAATGAAAGAAGAGAGGTCACAACCAACACCACAGAAATACAAACAATTGTAAGTGAATATTATGAAAAATTATATGCCAATAAATTGGGCGATTTGGAAGAAATGGATAAATTCCTAGAAATATATAAGCTACCAAAGTTGCAACAGGAAGAAATAGAAAATTTGAGCAGACCTATAACCAGCAAAGAAATTGAATCAGTAAGCAAAAATCTCCTAATAAACAGAAGTCTAGGACCAGATGGCTTCCCAAAGGAATTCTACCAAGCATTTAAGAAGAGTTAATACCTATTATTCTCAAACTGTTTAAAAAAGATAGAAATGCAAGGAAAACTTCCATTCTATGAGACCAGCATTTCCTTGATGCTTACCTTACCTTTGATTACCAAAGACAGACAAAGACCCCACCAAAAAGGAGAATTTACAGGCCAATATCCCTGATGAACACGAATGCAAAAATTCTCAACAAGATTCTAACATTGAATCCAACAGTACATTAAAAGAATTATTCACCATGATCAAGTGGGATTTATTCTTGGGCTGCAACGGTGGTTCAATATTCACAAAGCAATCCATGTGATACACTACATTTATAGAAGAAAAGATAAAAACCATTTGATCCTCTCAATAGAGGCAGAAAAGCATTTGATAAAGTATAGCATCCATTCTTGATGAAAATCCTCTAAAACTTAGGGACAGAGGAATCATACCTCAACATCATAAAAGCCAAATATGAAAGACCCACAGCTAATACCCTCAATGGGGAAAATGAGAGCTTTTCCTCTACGGTCAGGAACAAAGACGGGATGTGCACTCTCACCGTTGTTATTCAACACAGGACTGGAAGTCCTAGCCTCAGCAATCAGATTCCAACAAGGAATAAAAGGCATCCAAATTGGCAGAAGTCAAACTTTCACTATTTGCAAACAACATCATACTCTATATAGAAAACTTAAAACTCGACCAAAAAAATTGCTAGAACTGATACATGAATTCAGCAAAATTGCACATACAAAAATCAATGTACAGAAATCTGTTGCATTTCTATACACTAATAATGAAGCAGCAGACAGAAATCAGAGAATCAATCCCATTTACAATTGCACCAAAAACCATAAGATACCTAGGAATAAACCTAACCAAAGAGGTAAAAGATCTGTACTTTGAAAACTATACAACACTGATGAAAAAAATTGAAGATAACAAAAAGAACAGCTCATGGATTGGAAGAACAAATATTGTTAAAATGTCTATATTACCCAAAACTGTCTACACGTTTAATGCAGTTCCTATCAAAATACTGTCAGCAGGGGCACCTGGGTGGCTCAATCAGTTAAGTGTTCAGCTCAGGTCATGATATTGCAGTTCATGAGTTTGAGCCCCACATAATGCTCTCTGCTGTTAGCACAGAGCCTGCCTCAGATCCTCTGTGCCGCTCTTTCTGCCTCTCCCTGGCTTGTTCTTGCTCCCCCCCCCCCCATCTCTCTCTCTCAAAACAAAACAAATAAAACAAAAAACTATGAGCATGTTTCACAGAGCTAGAACAAACAATCGTAAAATTTGTATGGAACCATAAAAGACCATGAATAGCCAAAGCAATTTTGAAAATTGAAAGCATCATGATTCCTGACTTCAGGCTATGTTACAAAGCTTTAATCATCAAGACAATGTGGTACTGGCATGAAAACAGATATATAGATCAGTGGAACAGAATAGAAAACCCGGAAATGGATCCACAACTATATGATCAGCTAATCTTAGACAAAGTAGGAAAGAATATCCATTGAAAAAGTCTCTTCAACAAATGGTGTTGGAAAAACTGGCTGGTGACATGCAGAAGAATGAAACTAGACCACTTTCTTTCACCATATATAAAAATACGAAATGGATGAAAGACCTAAATGTGAGACAGGAAACTCAAAATCCTAGAGGAGAACACAGGCAGCAACCTCTTTGACATCAGTTGTAGCAACTTCTTACCAGACAAGTCTTTGGAGGCTAGGGAAACAAAAGCAAAAATGAATTGTTTGGACAGATAAAAATCTTCTACACAGCAAAGGGAAGAATCATCAAAACTAAAAGGGAGCCTATGGAATGTGAGAAGATATTTGCATGTGACATAGCAGATAAAGCGTTGACATCCAAAATCTATACCTATCAAAACCAATGCCCCCAAAACAAATAATCCAGTTAAGAAATGGGCAGAAGACATGAATAGACATTTTTCCAAAGAAGACATCCAGATGGCTAATAGATACATGAAAAGATACTCAACATCACATCACTCATAAGGGAAATAACACACACACACACACACACACACACACACACACTGAGATACCTACCACCTCACACCTGTCAAATGGCTAAAATTAACACAGGAAACAACAGATGTTGGTGAGGATGCAGAGAAAAGGGAACCTTGTTACACTGTTTGTGGGAGTGCAAATTGGTGCAGCCACTCTGGAAAACAAGATGGAGGTTCTTCAAAAAGTTAGAGCTAGGGGCGCCTGGGTGACTCAGTCAGTTAAGCATCCAACTTCAGCTCAGGTCATGATCTCACGGTTCGTGGGTTCGAGCCCCGCATCGGGCTCTGTGCTGACAACTAGCTCAGAGTCTGGAGCCTGCTTCAGATTCTGTGTCTCCCTCTCTCTCTGACCCTCCCTGCTCATGCTGTCTCTATCTCTCTCTCTCAAAAATAAATAAAATATATTAAAAAAAAAAAGTTAGAGCTAGAACTATCCTAAGATCTAGCAGTTGCACTACTAGGTATTTACCCAAATGATACAACAATACTGATCTGAAAGGACATATGTACCTCAATGTTTATAGCAACATTATCAACAATAGCCAAAGTATGGAAAGAGCCCAAATCAATCATTCCAACTCATCAAATGATGAATGGATAAAATGTGTTTATATACAGTGGAATATTACTCCGCCATTAAAGAGAACGAAATCTTGCCATTTGCAATGACACGGATAGAGCCATAGTGTATAATGCTAAGTGAAATAAGTCAGCCAGAAAAAGACAAATACCATATTATTTCACCTATATGTGGAATAGAAGAAACAAATCTAATATAGGAGAAGGGAAAAAAAGAGAGGGAGGCAAATCATTAGAGACTCTTAACTATAGAGAACAAACTGAGGGTTTATGTAAGGGGAGTAGATGGGGCATGGGCTAAATGGGTGATGAGTATTAAGGAGGGCACTTGTGATGAGCATTGGGTGCTATATGCAAGTGATGAATCACTAAATTCTACTCCTGATACCAATATTACACTATTATCTTAACTACCTAGAATTTAAATAAAGACTTGAGGGGGTTACCTGGGTGGCTCAGTCAATTAAGCTTCTGACTCTTGACTTCGGCTTAGGTCATGATCTCACAGTTCATGGATTTGAGGCCCCACACTGGGCTTTGTGCTGACAATGCAGGGCCTTTTGAGGATTTTCTCTCTTTCCCTCTCTCTCTGCCCCTCTCCTTCTCTCTCTCTCTAAAATAAATTTTAAAAAACATTAAAAAGATTATAAAATAAATCCTAAAGAAATCAGCATAGCCAGCATTCATTAGCTATTATTTTGGAGGAGGCCACAGGTACCCTGTTTAATAAGCAGACTGGTTTTAATCTGAGGATTTTAAGGTTTTCTTTTTAAGTTTATTTATTTTAAGAGAGAGGGAGTGTGTGTGTGCAAGTGGAGTAGGAGCAGAGAGAGAGGGAAAGAGAAAGCCAAGCAGTCTCCACATTATCAGTGCAGAGCCTGATGTGGAGCTCAATCTCACAAACTATAAGATCATGACCCAAGCCGAGACCAAGAGTTGGATGGTTATAATAGAGTTGGTTAACCAGCTGAGCCACTAGGTGCTCCTAAGATTTTAGTTTTTAACAACAGAAGCCTTTCATTCTTTCCAAGCAAAATTTTAAACAGAGTCCCCACAATTCCCTTCATATGTTGGGAATGTACCAATATATGACTATCATTTGCCAGCTGCTTACTATGTGATAAGGATTTTACACAGAGCTAACCCTCAGAACAATCCTATGCGGCAGATAGTATCTCCATTTTAAATATACAGAAATTGAGCCTCAGAAAGTTTAGGTAGTTTGCTCAGTATCATACAGCTAGCAAGTGGCAGAGTCAGGATAAGGAAATAGGTCTATCCAGACTCCAAAGGCAGGATTTCATTTAACCTTAGAGAACAATGCCCAACAGATAGTGAAGAATTATAAGTGTTGTATAATTAATTTCTCATATAATCCTTGCAACAATCCTCTAACATAGATACTATTATTCTCTCCATATTACAGATAAGGAAACTGAGGAAGAGAGAGGTTACATAACTTACCTGTGTTCTTATTTACCCTTGCCACAATTGCAAACATGTTAAGATTAGCCTAACATACATAGTTAGAAATCTCAACAATGTTATTTTCAACCCAGTATGTTCCAAAGTTAAAAACTATGTGTTATTTTGGACTAACTGTATTATCTATCCCAAACTTAGAAATACTCAGAATTGAAAAACCTGGAAGGTTGCTTCAGTCTTATTTCATATTTGAAATAAGTACTTTGTCAGTTACTGTCTTTAGGATCCAAGCAGTGAATCACTTTATAGGTAATGCTGTCTTATCTGAAGATGCCTTCCCCCTCCGCCCACCCCCCCCAAGTCAGGTAACTTAGATTTTTAGATCTAGTTATAGAGATAGCTGTGAGTTTTAATTTTTGTACTTAATTTTACCAAATTTTCAAATCTATTAAAATTCTAAAAGGAAACTTTCCACCGTAGGTTATGGCTATTGCCCCAACCCATTATATATGGCAACGGGAACGCTCTGTGCATCACAGTGGAGCTGTTAGAAACTACAACAGAGATGAAGTTCAACTGCCCCGAGGACCTAGTGCCACCCCAGTAGATTGTTCACTCTGTGGTAAAAAAGGAAGATATGTTAGACTGGGATTGTCTTCATCATCTTCATCCAGTGATACAGTAGAGGTGATGGAGAAACATTCTCAGGAATAATACAACTCATTCTCAATGGACATGGTAGTCAATCCTTCTGAAGCTTATAGCTATTCTCAAGGTATGATTTAGTAATATGTCAGAATTAGATTTATGCAAGTTATTAACAAATCTCGTTTATTGACCTGTAGTCAATTCTTGTAGGCAGGGTACATAATAACTTATGTACCACATTATGAGTTAAATTAGCATTGAAAGTTTTCTCCTTTTCAGTTACTATTTGTCTTGTGTCAGTATCTATTTTTGTGATAGGTCACCTAAGCTAGAAGATTTTTAATGTGACTTATGTTAAATTGAAACCTAACACGCCACGAGTCTTGAGTATTTTAAAGTATTAAGTATTTGAAGATCGTGAAGCATTTTCTCTGAAATGTTTTATTCAAAAGGAATTTCAAGAAGAAAATAAATTTACCTGTAATCTCACCAGCTTTATCAGTGATTAACTACTGGTTTTCTTCTATACACTTTAAAATTGAGATATAATTGACATAAAATGCTGTATTAACTTTAGGTGTACAATATAATGATTTGATATATTGCAAAATGATTACAATAGGTTAACATTCATCACCACATATAATTTTTTTGTGATAGGAACTTTTTAAGATATACTCTCTTAGCAATTTTCAAACATGCAACACAGTATTGTGAACTACAGTCACCCTGTCGTTCATTGTATTCCAGGATTTATTTATCTTATAACTGGAAGTTTGTTTCTTTTGACCACCTTCACCAGTTTTGCCCACCCTGCATCCCTGCTTCTGGCAAACACCAATCTGTTCTCTGTATCTAGTTCTTTTTTGGTTTAGTTTTCTTTTTAGATTCCACATGTGAGATCACACAGTACTTTATTTTTCTGTATAAAGTATTTCACTTAGCGTAATGCCCTCAAGGTCATCCATGTTGTCACAGAGGGCAGGATTTCCTTATTTTTTATGGCTGAATGATATTCCATAGTGTGTATGTGTGCATGTGTGTGTGTATATCACTGTGGTTTTGTTGTGGGTTTTTTTTTACATACAACATAAATGCTTGATTAATAACCACAAATCTCATCATGCTTTTGATTTGCATTTCCCTGACAATTGCTGATGTTGAACACCTTTTTGTGTACCTCTTGGCTATTTGTATGTCTTCTTTGGAAAAATGTCAATTCATTTCCTTTGTCCATTTTTTAATTGGATATCTTTCTAGTGAGTTGTAGGAGTTCTTTATATATTTTGGATATGAACCCTTTATTAGATACATAATTTGCAAATATTTCTCCCATTCTGCAAGGTTGCCTTCTCATTTTGTTGGTTTTCTTTGCTGTACGGAAGCTTTCTAATTTTATATAATCCCACTGTTTATATTTGCTTTGTTACCTTTGCTTTTGGTGTCAAATCCAAAAACCATTGGCAAGATGAATATCCTCCCATTGTGTTCTAGTTTTATGGTTTCAGGCATTATATTCAAGTCTTTAACCTATTTTGAGTTGATTTGTGTGTATGGTATAAGATAGTGGTCTTCATTTCTTTTGCACGTGACTGTCCAGCTTTTCCAACACCATTTACTGAAGAGACTTCCCACTTCTTGGCACTTCTTGTCATAAATTAATTGACCATATATTTGTGGGTTTATTTTTGGGTTCTCTATACCATTCCATTTCTCTATTTGTCAGTTTTATGTGAAAATCATAGTTTTGATTACTATAGCTTTGTAATACTATACACTTTTCTACTATTTAAAAAAAAATAGAAACATACTCTATCTAGGCCTGCTTTTCTTTACTTACCATAAAGCATTTCCAGATGTCATTAGTCTTTGAAAACCTGATTTTTAATCATGACATGGTATAAGTATCATAATCTATTTGCACATTTCATTTTTGTTAGTACTTAAAAGGCTTTGCATGAAGATATCTTAATTAGAAAATAATCATATGAACTGGAAATACTTTCAGTCACCCACACCATAATTTTCATTCAAATTATGTTTATAAAGGTAGAGTATTTCCCAATTTGAACCGAGCCAGAGGGGCGCCTGACCCAGTCGGTTAGGCATCCCACTTCTGCTCAGGTCATGATCTCGGAGTCCGTGAGTTCGAGCCCCTCGTCAGGCTCTGTGCTGACAGCTCAGAGCCTGGAGCCCATTTCAGATTCTGTGTCTCCCTCTCTCTCTGCCCACCCCAGGTCGTGCTCTGTCTCTCTCTCAAAAATAAAATAAACATTTAAAAAATTTAAAGAAAAGAAACCGAGCCAGAATAATATTCTACTAGTGGTGATCCTTTTTACTTTTTATAAAGCCTTTCTTCTAGGTATTCATCCATCTAAGATAGGACTGACAGATTTTTTATGGTTCTTCCAAAATTCTATAATGAAACCTCCATTATTTCAGAATATCACATATTTATTTTTGCTTTATCCTTATGAGATTAACAGTGGCTACTGAAGTTTTAGTAACAGAGAAACTAAACTCTTAAGACTCTTCAGGACAGAGACCTCACCTCAATCATTGTTTCATTCCCTGGCCGTAGTAAATCTCTAAACAAATTTGACAGTATAGTCTCTTCCCTTGCAACACCTCCAAGCATAATTTTTATTAGTTCACTCACATCTTAAGGTAAGTTGAACCTACCATAGGCTAAGTTATAAAATAAATTGCCTTTTATTTTATAGAAGCATCCCTTCTATCCCAGCAACTTTTACCTACACTTTTTGATTCTTGTAATAGGTAAGATTTACTAGATGTTTAAAATGTTCCAGGCAATATGTTAAACATTTTACATTGATAATTACAATGTTCACAGCCAACCCTATGATAAATACTATTATCTCTACTTTGCAGATAAGGAAACTGAGACTTAGAGAGGTTAAATCATTTGCCCAAAGTGGAGCGACATTTGAACCCCGGTCTGTCTGACTCTAGACTACAGCCTGAATTCTTAACTAATATGCTCTACTGCCCCCTTTGATGAAATCTTACCTTTGGTGGTGAAAATAAGCTGCCACAGAAGTCTTTTTGCAAACTAAAGACAAAGGAAGTGGTGGAACATTAAGAACCAGTCCCTAATGAAAGGTTGTATGGAGTGAATTGGGAGAGAATTTCAACCACAATTTGAACAGATATTTATAGAAAGCAGAACATAAGCAGTTATGGTTTACTGAGACTAGTCCCTGTAGATATCAAGAGTAGTAACACTCTATGGGGCACCTGGCTGACTCAGTCGGTTGAGGGTCCGACTTTGGCTCAGGTCATGATCTCACAGTTCGTGGGTTGGAGCCCTGTGTTGGGCTGTGTGCTGAGAGCCTGGAGCCTGCTTTGGATTCTGTGTCTTCCTCTCTGCCCCTCCCCCACTTATGCTGTGTCTCTCTCTCTCTCAAATAAACATTAAAAAAAAGTAGTAAACTCTATATTTTAGGCTTTGGAATCTCAACAGGAAATCACAGTGCAACCAGGGAGGATGGGGCTCTGCTAGTCGTGATTTTTTGGAAAAAAAAAAAAAAAAAAGCACGACTTTGACAGGTGGTGGGTGAAAAGTGGAGCACCTGACTTAAAGGAGATGGAACTATGCTTCCATCCTTTCCCTGAAGGAAAAGTCCTGAAGCCCTGGTTTAGGATATATACAGATCCTATACAGGAAGGAACAAGTATTTACTCCTTACTGTTTTATTCAGAATATTAAAGTTAAATGTAAAAGCTTTTGTTTCAGGATGACAGGGGGTAGGCAATGCAAAGAAATTATTAATCAGACATACACTTGACCAGGAAACATATACATTCATTTTCACTCAATAGGTTTAACTGGGAGTAAGCTAAGTAGTGGGTGTGGGGGCATTCAAGGGTAACAATGTTAGCAGTGGGCAGTCTCTTACTGGCTCAGCAGCTGCTGATTTTTAGTGATGAAAAAACAAACTCAGAAAAGTCACAGTTGTAAGGTAAAACAACAGCAACAACAAAAACAGCAACATGGGACCGAGTTCTATCTGAATATATGACCTATTTTTATACTGACACTGTTTACCTTATGCATTTTTAAGCCTTGTGACACCCAGGTTAATCTCTCTGAAATATGAATATGCAGAGTACTCCTCAGACTTTAGAGTGAAGCCAGAGGAAAAAAGCAATATACCAAACCTTATTCCTGGATCACAGAGACACCCATGGGACACTACAACTGTTATATAATCTAAAACCAGGTGATTTTTCATCCAGAAAAAATCCTTATTTAGTTTAGTCACTACAACTGTTCTAGTCATACTGGTTTAAAATCCTAATACCTAATGAAGGCATAATCAGGGTTTACAAATTAATGATGTAATAGGGCAATTCTAATTATATGATCAACATTTAGGAGTACAAAAGACTATAGGGTGAGAGACTTGTTCAAGGCTTTTGCAAGGAAGTAATTTATGAACTGAGCACCAAGTCCTGTTTTGCCCAGCAAAGTAAGGGAAAGGGCTTCTGAATAGCAGATAAAAGTTTGAAAATATATAGCTTCCCTCTCTCTATAGCCAACGATTCACCAGCTTATTAGGTTATTCCTTCACAATATTTTTAAAATCTACCCCTTTTTCTTACCTCATAGTTGTATATTACAACCAATTACCTCAAAACGTATATCATGTGTTACTGTGAAGTTTCTGATTCAATTGCTTTTTCCTTCCTTCAAATACTCATAGGCACTACTAACAGACTAACTTAAAAAAAATCTCCTTTCACGAGACCAGAAAACCCTCAGGAGTTCCCTACTGCCTCTGAAGTACAGAATTCAAACTCACACGTCTCTCACAGTCCAAGAGCTATATGCCTAAATTTTCCACTGAACAACCAAGTCAAGAGATAAAAACAATAGGTGATCAAATGTAGGCTTACATCAGCACATTTTTATTGACCATTAGTGGGTGGAAAAGATGGGATCTCTGGAAAATAGTAGGAAGAAAAATGAGACAGTCACAAATCTGTAGAAGTTTACAGTATGATAGATGACAGCCAGACATGAATTTAAGAAAGGTTAACTTTAGAAGAAGTTAACACATCTGTAGGCATGCCTGGCTGGCTCAATCAATGGAGCATGAAACTCCAGATCTCAGAGTTGAGAGTTCGAGCCCCACAATGGGTAAAGAGCTTACTTTAAAGATAAAAATAAATAAATAAAAAAGAAGAACACATCTGTCCCATAAGATTGTAAACCTGCTTAATGTTCAATGGAGACATGGAAAAAGGGCTGAAGCTAGACTTTAGCCATACAAATAAAAGCTTATTTGCTTATGTAGTTTGGTTTTCAATTCAGCTTACTATCAGAATGGACACCGTTAAAGACGTCTTATTCAGTTCAACATCTATATTTGAATTGAGTGCAATGTACTGAACAGAAACGAGTTATTCTAC